TGGATCAGTACTGCCCATCGTCTTCACCTTTCACTATTTTTCAGTTCCATTGGGAAGGGAAACAGTTTGAACGGAGGTTTGCAGTCACACACATCTGATTCCCTTTTGCATTTATGGAGTTCCAAACAAATTTCTTGAGCCGTTTTCCACTGTTAGGATCCAACAACCACACAATTACGATGTCCAAATCCCAAAACTAAAATATGACAATATCAGAACCAGAAACAAAAGTGATATGGTTCAAAAGACTTGAAAAGACTGGCTTTGTCAATAGACACATCCCACTGGGGAAAACAAACATGGCAGTTCAATGCTCACTTTTTCGGAAAATCCTTCCCAGTATGCATTGCACAATGACCGGAAGTCCGAAATTCATGATGCATGTATAGAGAGAGAGAAAAATAGATAGGGAGGAGGAGGGGACGAGGGAGAACTGGGAGCAGATTAAGCAGCGTGAAGTGAAAGAGACGAAGCTAATGCCTTTTCACAGAGTTACAGAGAGACCACATGTGAGCTCTGGTCCTGACCCGGCATGACTCGGCTCTGGTCCTGACCCGGCATGACTCGGCTCTGGTCCTGACCCGGCATGACTCGGCTCTGGTCCTGACCCGGCATGACTCGGCTCTGGTCCTTTCACTCAAAGAATCAGCTCCTTTTAAATGTGCAAAGTCGTCTTATTTTGGAACAAGCTCCTGTTACTGTCAACTGCAGCTCACACTTCTCTATCGCCGTTCCTCTCTCTCTTTATCTCTCTCTCTTTATCTCTCTTCTTTCTCTCCCACCCTCCATTCTCCTCTCTCTTTCTCCTCTTTCTCTGTCTTCTCTCTCATCTTCTCTCTTCCGCTGTTGGGTAAGTTACGTCAAAACTGTAATGTGTTATTTATGACTTGTTACTGTCATTTCAAAGTAATTTGTTACATTACAATATTACTGCATTTAAATGTAAGGCATTATATTACTATTGCATTACTTTTGAGTTACTCTGATCAAAATAACTGCGAAGATGCTGAACTTTTACGCTATATATGTACTGAACCAGGACTAAACCAGGACTGAAACGAGGACTAAACCAGGACTAAACCAGAGCTGAACAGAGAACTAAACCAGGACTAAACCAGGACTGAAACGAGGACTAAACCAGGACTAAACCAGAGCTGAACAGAGAACTAAACCAGGACTAAACCAGGACTAAACTAGGTCTAAACTAGGTCTAAACCAGGACTAAACCAGGACTAAACCAGGACTGAAACAAGGACTAAACCAGAGCTGAACAGAGAACTAAACCAGGACTAATCTTGGACTAGAACTTGGAATCTAGGACCGCTCCTGAGACAACCTCGAGCCCATGGAGCAGGATGTGTGCAAGGCGTGATCGGGCGTCAGCTGCACTTCTCCCCGTGGAGCGTGGAGTTCTGCGTCGGTCCTTTCGCTCGCGTTTACCTGACGGTTTACACGGGCGCGTCTCTGGTGTTTCGTTGCTGCTGATATCGCGGTGATTTTAGCGAATTTGTATGAAGAAAAACCCCCCACTTCAATCCAGGTTTAAAAAGCATTGTAACGTACTGAAGTTTGTACTGAGTAAAATATTACAGTTTGTTCCCTGTAATGTCACATTACTGCGTTACAGCAAAAAGCAATGCATTACAGTTTTCATTACTTTTATAACACGTTACTCCCAACACTGCTCTCTTCTTTCTCTCCCACCCTCCTGTCTCCTCTCTCTCTTTCTCCCCTTTCTCTCTCTTCTCTCTCATCTCCTATCTCCTCTCTCTCTCCCCTTTCTTTCTCTTGCCTTCTTCCCTCTCTCTGCTCTCTCTCCCTCTCAACCCTTTCATTCTCCCCTCTCTTCCCTCAATCCTTATCTCTCTCTCTCTCTCTCTGCTCTCTCTGCCCTCTCTCTCCTCTCCCCCATCTCTTGCACCGCTCTCTCTCTCCTCAAATCCTCCTTCTCTCTCTGCCCTCTCCTTTCCCATCTTTTTCCTCTCACCATCTCTCCCCGAAGTCCTCCCTCTCTCTGCCCTCTCTCTCCTCTCCCCTCTCTCCCACCCTCCTCTCTCTCTGCCTTCTCTCTCCTCTCCCCATCTCTTTCAATGCTCCCTCTCTCTCCCCTACCTCTTCTCTCCCTCATCTCTTTCACCCCCTCTCTTCCCTCAAGTCCTCCTTCTCTCTCCCTACCCTCTCCTCTCCCTCATCTCTTTCTCCTCTTGCTGTCTCTCCCCCCAGTCCCTCTCCCTCTTTCCCCGTCCGTCCGTCCTCTCTCCCCTTCCACTCGTCTCTAAGCACACTTCCCTCCCTGTCTGTGATCTCATTAGTAAAATTAAACTCGTGTGTGTGTATCTGTGTGTGTAACGTAGTGAGTGTGTGAGTGTGTGTCATGTTGTGTGTGATATGATCTGTTTTGTGGTCACATACTTTCACTTCTTGTCATATATAGTTTCCACTGACTCGGGTTTTCTCTTAATGAACCTGTCAGTTAATGGCTGGAACATTAAGACGGAGGTCCTGCTGCAGTTCTCTTTATTCATTCCATAGTTTTTTGTTGTTTTTTTTCTCACCATTTACTCACCTTATTTTCAAGATGCCATTTTGCAAATCATCTCATGTCTTCTATATCATAATAAATGAAATGTGAATATGGCGAGACCAAATGTCGGGCCTTGTTTACGTCAATTTGTTGATCTTCCCGAAGCGGCACGCGTTCTTTCAGTCTGTAATATCAATATAATCCTCATTTGCTCACAGAAGTTTATGAAATCATATTTTAAATACTTTTTCAAGACAATTTTTCTTGTTCCCCATGCCCTTTAGCATCTGTAATTGTTGATTTGGGAAGAAATATTCATTATCCCCTTACCTGCTGCCATGAACATAATTTGTAAGCAGCACAACACAAGAAACTTAGCTACAGAATTTGTTCAAAAATCATTCAGAATCACTTTTAGGAAGCTCTTAACTATGTATTTCATTGAAATATGTCAGATAAAATCCTGAAGTACTGTATTTTCCGCACCATAGGGCACGCTCACAAGCCTCTAACCACATAAAAAAACAACTGCACACCCCACAATCCAGAGCGCCCTATACATGAATCCACTCGGGCCTCCCTGCATGACTTCGGTAAACTACAAAGCGGCACCACCCGTAAAGCAAACACACACTGATTTACGTGTACTTGGCCAAAAAAGAAACGCAAGTTTTTGTTATTATTGTGGTGATTCAAAATTGCCCCTAACTGTACATGTTGGGCCTCTTACTGTAATCAAAGAAGGAACACGATCTCTGGACATCAGTAGAGATTTGCTACGCTTGACTGATTCCAGTCAATGGCTTGGACAACAATACTGCACACAAAAGTTGTCAGGAATCACTCTTAGTGGACTTTTGCATCAGAAAACCAAGTTTTGGAGCTTGGAATCCACGTCATGTCATTGTTGTCTGATTTGGAGAGGGGTCGTGCTATCGGTATGCTGGATGCGGGGATGCGTATCCAAGAAGTGGTTGCAGCTCTCCATGCGCACGAGAGGACTCTGAGGACTTGGTACACGGATACAGGTACAGCAGACTGCGTAGCGGCAGACCACGCATCACAACGCGCGGCACTGGTGGAAGAATGGAGAAGGGTGCCACAATTCAGTATTCGACACCTGGTACAGTCCATGAGAAGGAGGGTCCTGGCTTGTATAGGAGGTTTTCAGTCATATGATCACAATGATGCGCGAATTTCAGGTGGAGGGCAGGAAGTGAAGACAAACACGACAAACACAAAGCTCTGGAGAACACAGATATGGAGAAGAGTTCTTATTGTAAGGATTTAGAGCCAGTAACAAGGCAAAAGTACGAGCAGTTAGTCGACAAATATATTGGGCGTGACCCTGATCTTATTGAAAATGAGAGAATTTTCAACCGAAGTAAAAGATTTGCCGACAATCGAGGCAGAGGAGATCACAAACTATTTAGCTCTTCAGACATCGTTCTACACCAGACAACAGATGAAGGCAAAGTACAAAAGTTTGGAGGCATAGAACTTTTTTTGTCAGTGGATGGGTCCTCAACCTTAGTGCAAAACGCCTAAATGATGATTATGGTTTGGTCTTCGCCGGGGTGAGTGTTTCTCTTATTTTATGTGTATAGACTGTTCTGGGAAAAACTGCAGTGTATCGGCAGTGACCTCTATCTGAACTATTTAATGTCAACAAACGTCGTTAGCCGTTAGTCGTTAGTCGTTAATGATTCCTTTAAGTTTAGGTAAACCACAAAAAACAATTTATCTTTGTAACAAACCTTTGTCGAAGTGTTCACTGCAGACACGAGCATTAGCGAATTTTGCTCCTCCCGACCGCAAACAGGTTTGTAATCCACTTTTTACGGCGTTGTTCTGTCAGCTTTTCCCATTTCTGACCTTTGTGGACGACTATATTCGGTACTCTAAAAAAAATCGCTTTTCCTTCTCTCGGTTAGAACGATTGGCACAGCCGTAAACTACACAACACATCGGCATTTTCCTCCAGTCAGTTCACTTCCTGCCCTCCATCTGATTTTGTGCTCTGACAAACGTAGCCCTGTGACGTCACGTGAAACCCAGCTATTGCAGCTATTACATTTTTCCAGCTTTTTTCAACATTGTTTTTATAATTATATATATTAAAATGCTATATAAATAGAACTTGTGTTTCTTTTTTGGTCAAGTATACTTACTTAGTTCTTCAGTTGTATTTTCTTGTTTCTTCTTTCAGTGAAACATGTAGGATTCTGCAGCACTGCGTTGTCATTTTGGTACAGATGAAAAAAGTACTGTAAAACATGTTTTGTTTATTGTGTTATTGATTTATTAGGCTCCCTGTGAGCTGCCCATTTAATTGAATCTCATTACTGTCCTTGTGGTAAAATAATGAATACAGTAATAACGAAATACTGGTATTCTTGTTCTTCATGTATTCTTGTAGTGAGTGGGGTTGCCTTTCCACAGAGCTGACTTGATCTTGCTATGCTTGTGTCCATAGGTGGCGGGCCCTAGACCAGAAAAGTTACATCTAAACCATCTTACTGTATGCCATTTTGAGAACTACAACAGTAAGTCACATGTCATGTTTATCTGCGTTGCATCAGTCAGACTTTTGGCACACTCCTTTGCACTATTTGCTGTGTTAACTCCTCAGTCTGGCTCTGATCCGTCAGTAAAATGAGCCCGGCTGTTTTGGTGTAGCACTGTCAAAGAGCTGCTCATGTTGAGAGTGACACGATCCTCTTCTCAAACGCTCAACACAGACAACCTCTCACCGAAGATCTGCCTCTCTGCTCCTGGCTACTGATGTGACGTTTGTCTTTCTAATTTGAATGCATTTTTGATTTGTACAGATAATTTCACTGTTCCCTGACATTTTGCAGTTGCAGTTTTATGAGTGCAGTTTGGGTCATATACTTTATATCAGATCATACAGGTGCTGACATGTTTTGAGCTTTTGCCAGTTTCAAGCGATTCCCATTTTAGATGAGTAATAGATGTACAGGGCATGTCTGTAGTTCAGTGGTTCTGATCTTGGAGTTGGGTTGTGAAGATTTCATTGGGGTTGCCAGATTATAAAAGGAATATGACAGTGTATGCAATGGTCTTAAAGAAGGCTGGACACCCTTCAAATGCAGTGCTGAATGTAGATATCATTTGTTGTCTAGGCATATGTCAAGAAACATTAGACATAAAGCAGGCATATTGTTTTTGTGTCCGCTCTATAGTGATAATTTATGACACGTGTGGATTATAAAGTTATAATGTGCACATTTTAAATCACAAAATTCATCCAAAATGACTTAATAAAAGAAACAAGTGCAACTTTTGTGTTAGGAAACTGTGGTTCCCAATAAGAACTGAAACACCATCGCAACAAAGAGCTGTGAAGTTGTTCGATGGATAGCTGCAGATGACACTAGTGAGTAGCACTTTTATTTTTATTTATTTTTTTATACCAAAATGACTACGTGATGCTTCCAAATCCTAGTCAGGCGCCACCTAGTGCCTCTGCTCAATTTCATTTCTCTTCAGCGACTAGGTCAGGAATCAGAATACACTAGATGGTTTGCAAGAACCCCGGAAGTTGTATATCGCGCACTGACCAATCAGTGAAGAGCTGTGAAGCCATGACGTCAAACTCGTTGCAACAGTAAACAAAGCGGTCGAGATGGATGTAGACGAAGTCAAGGATTTAAAGTTGAAACAAAAAGAATGTTTGGTGAATTTTATCAAGAGGAAAGATGTTATTGTCCTTCTTCCTACAGGATTTGGCAGATTACATATGTCATGACCAAATAGCAGCGATTGGTTGAATAAAAAAGTACCAGCCTACCGCCAAGCGAATGAATCCTAATGCTGCGAGGTCTGAGGCTGATGAATCAGGCTAATTAAATCCTGTCTGAAATCAGAATCCAAAAATTGTATTGGTGAATTAAATAAGTAGAGAGCAGGGGGGGTGTTAAAATAGAAGTTGATGCAGCAAAATGGCAAAATGGCATCTTGAAAATAAGATATTTAATATTATTCCAACAGGCACAAATCACTCCAAATACAACTTCAGGTGAATAAATGAGAAGGGGGAACAACTATAACATGGTTAAAAGCTCGATTTTGCAGAGTTGGTCTGATTTAAATCTGCTCTATCATGGGAAGTCTATTTTTTGTGTTTGGGGGTCGTGATTAAAAAAGATTGCTGCAGTTTCAGTTGGCCCTGGCCCTCACTGGGGTCTGTCCTGATCCAGCTGGATGAAGGGATGAGGGGACGAGTGGATGAGGGGATGACATGTCCGTCTGAGAATGGCCCTGAGCAGACATGATGAAAAGAAGGAATGGAACGCCTGAATCAGGAGGGAGGAGCTGCTCTGCCACGATACCAGCTCCGGCTACAGAAGTATTATGCTGCTTTTAGGTTTGGGTTTGGGTTTAGATTTAGATTTGGGTTTGAGTTTGGGTTTAGGTTTGGGTTTGGGTTTAGGTTTATATCATCTCCTCATGAAGAAGTTCATCTTGAAGCAGTGGTCAGTATCTTTAACAAACAGATGTGACAAATGACAAAAGAAAAACTTGTAGAACTGGACAATATAGAATCACTCAGACTTGACACCTGCACAGTCAGTCCTTGTTCTTAATACATTTTATGGAGCAGTTTTTATACCTGTTACTTTTACATAAGAGAACCCTGTACCTCTTCCCAGAAGCAGGAACTCAGATTGTGTGTTGAGGACAGGAGATGATCTGATGGTCTTCAGAGTCTGTTTCACTGTCCATGATTTTACAGACAGTTTGACCAGTCTAAGGATGTGACATTTATATTTGAGAGTCGTGTTTCCAAACCAGCTGACTCTTCCATACCTTAGCACAGACTCTATTCTAGCTCTGGTATCTTTATGTTTGTCTAAATGTTCGTTAATAGGCCTTGTTCCCTCTTATCTTAAATGAATAATACAGTGTCAAAAACAAATGACTTAAAGCATTAACACATGATGAGTTTATGAGGTATTCAGATGACTTCATAGTGATTCACACATGAACACTGTGAGTGTAATTCTCTGAGGAACACTGAGGAACACTGAGTCACACTCTGAGCTCACTAATGAAGAACCTGCATTCATCACAGTTACACACTTTTCATCATGAACTCATGTTCAGTGAACTGGATGTAGTCCACACACTGACATATTAAAAAGGTATTACAATCACAACTGAACCTGAGTAAACCTGGATCTGTTATCTGTCTCTATTCTTCTCAGTAAATGGACAGAATATTGTATCAGAGGCTTTGGTTCATGGTTGGTGCAGGTGTTGGGGTTTAGGGAGTGACTCTTCAGATCAGAGCGAGGCATTTTAGGTTTAAATCAGACCCATTGTGTAAAATCGACTTTTCAGAGCTTTTAACAATGTTACATGTTTCTTCTTCTCATTTACTTTCTCAAAGTTGTATTTGGAGTGATTCGTGTGTCTTTGAGTCATCTTTAATTGCTTATTTTCAAAACCCCTGTTGTAACTAGGGATGTCCCGATCACATTTTTTTGCCCCCGATTCCGAGACTGAGTCATTTGATTTTGAATATCTGCCGATACCTAGTCCTGATCCGATACTTCTGTAAAACATTATGAATTGAACTAAGAGCAAAGAATAAGATCCAGGATCTATGGGGGGATCAGATTGTATTGATTTCAATGTGTAGTATTTGGGCTGAACTTGTGAAAAATCAAATGTCCAAAACTTAAATTTTATTAGCTGTGGGCTGTGTGTCCTGTGTGTGTTGTGTGTTATATACGTATATTATTTATCCGATACAAAATCGGATAATGTCTGAGTCCGGATTGAGTCTGCAGTCACGTGATCTGCACCAATTTCCGATCACATGATTGGATTGGGACAACCCTAGTTGTAACTGCCATCAGCATACATCCACTGTGACGTACTTACTTTGTTCTCCAATTTTACTTTCTTAATCTGTGATACATGCAGGATTCAGCAGTGTTGTGTAGTCATTTTGGTACAAATGAAAAAAAATACTAATGCTAATGTGAATCTACTGCTATCCATCGGAGGGGCAACAACCTCAAGACTTTTTGTTATGATGACGTTTACGGGGACATCAGCTCCCATTGGACACCACCCACAGTCATTTAAATATTATGCAAATGGTAACATAATAGTTCACAGTTAGATACTACTAGAATAAAGCTGTATAGCAGACACAAACACTACAGATTTAAACCAACTGGATTTCAGCACGGAAACTTCACTGTGAGATTTACATGAGGCTCATTCTGCTTTCTGATTGGGTGTTTTGGTTGTCCGGATGATCCAATTATGATATAAACAACTTATTCATTATGTCCAATGATTGTTTTGTAAACAGGAATGAATCTGCATTACAGTTGTTATCAGTAAGCTCTTTATTTAGTTTCAACATGTTTGAATCTTTTCTTCTTTTCTGGTCATGTTTATGCAATTTAAAATCAAAATCTTACACATGGTTCATTTAACTCATGTGCCATTACTGTTTTAAGCGTTACCAGTATCAGGGCTTAGTTCTTGAACTGTGGCGACATGTCAGTAGAGTAAATACATGCTGCAGGATGTATGTTGTTTTTGCAGGTTGTTGTGTGAGCTCTTGGGCCCATATGATCCTGTGCTTTACTGTGGGACCAGGTGGGAGTCCTGCCCGGAGACTGGCACTGAGCCATGAGATCTGGGCCAGAGGGGAACCACCAGAAAGAGGGAGGGAGGAAGAGGTGTGAGTGACAGGAGCAGAGGCACAGTCTGATGAGCCAATGATTGCTGCACTGACCACAGCCTAACAAGTGTGTTCTGCTGAAGGGAGCGTACAAAAGAGCGGGCAGCACAATGAGACGTCATGCTGTGAGAGATTATCGGCCCTGAGTATAGCTTCAAGGCGGTGCTGTCGTTCAGTTTGGATGTTGAAGGAAATTATAAATAAGTGTTCTGCTTGACTTGAATCACGACAAGAAGACCTACTGTGCTTGTGTCTGCTCTATAGTTATAATCTATAACCCCCGTGGATCTTTATGTTGTAATTTGCACATTTTAAATCACATTATTCATCTAAAACTAACCCTGTGTTTGATTATCTTCCAACTCTCACTTGGACCTAGGGCTGTTGCGGTTAGGGAATTTCTCCTGTGGTGTGGTATAGTGGCTCAACAGCATGGTATGCAGTGATATCGCACCCCCTCCCCCATCCCACATCCCCCAGAGTTAGAATATTTCCAGCTGCACAGGAAAACTCTCTCTGATGATGTGCTTGTTGCGTAGATGCACATGTACCTTGGTTGTCGTGTGGATACAGCGTGTGTAGCGGAAGAAGTAACATTTGGCTTTGGAACAAGTGCCGCATCTCTCCAGCTCTCACTGTGGCAGCTCGGGTCACAGTCTTGCTCCAGGTCGGGTCAGAGTCCTGCTCCAGGTCAGGTACCCGCGGACTTAAGAGAGGGAGCCCTTAGCACAAGCACGCGGAGCAGGTGTCTGCAAAGCACGATCGGGCGATGGCCGCACTTAACTCCGCGCGGCACGGAGCTGCTGCGGTCCTTTC